TTCCTGCAAGAACTCTCTAAGGTCCGTGACATAACCGGTTTTCTAAACTGGACATATTACTGCAGAAACCGGGTATATTACTGTAGAAACTCTCTTGGACCAGTGATATAACCGGTTTGAAAACCGGGCATATTACTGCAAGAACTCTCTAGGGTCTGTGACATATACCGGCGAAAACCGGGCATATCACTGCAAGAACTCTCCAGGTTCTGTGATATAACCCGTTCGAAAACCGGGTATATGAACTCACTTGGGTCAGTGGCATAACCGATTTGAAAACCGGGTATATTACTGCAAGAACTCTCTAGCGTCTGTGACATGGTTCGAAAACCGACCTCAAGGGACTCTCTTGCGTTTGTGACATAATCGGTTTGGAAACGGGGCATATTACTGCAAGAACTCTCTTGGGTCTGTGACATAACGGGTTAAGGGCAGAAGCTGCAGCCATGTAGGTTGAAGCTAAGTAGATCTGCCCTTCCTTGTGCAGTTGGTGCTCTGATCACGGAGGAATCGATACAAAAGGTAAAAAATCGAAGGGAGAAACTTTTTTGTCGTTGCTTTACACAATGATCCTTGGTTTCTGTAGAATTCGGTCGTAATTTAGGGGGGTAGTAGAAGCCATGTTGTCGGTTTAGTGGAAGATGAAGCCCGTTAGAAGCCGACATGGATAGGAACCAGTTTGCTCAGCAAATGTCGGGGTTGTCTCTGTAATGGTAGATTTTTTTCTCTCACAAATAGAATTTAGGGTTGGACGTGCTGACATGATCCTTTGGAAGAAATTTGGGGGACCTATGATCATATTGTAATTTGTGCTTCCGGTAGCAGAAGCACATGAACACGAGATAAGAGAAAGAACAAGGACAGGAAATGCTGTCCAAGATGGTAACTTGTGTATTGATTATGCATTGTTGATTGGCCAAATGGAATCTTTTTTTTTTTTTTGTATTTGAGGTCAGTTTGCAGATAGATCTTGTGAATGCTGATTTGGAAGCAAAGGATAATATGAGGAAAGCTGATAAGGAAGAGGGTAAGGGGTGTGGTTTTCTCCTTCCTTCTCTCAGCATTTGCTTATGAATTTGGCATTCTCTGTTCATTAGTCATTAGAGGAAAGCCCGGGCCTAACTGTTAGATATTTACAGCTTACCACTTTTGTGGTCGGGAACGAAGATGAAAAGGGAACATGAAACTCTTCCTTGTTAGAATGCAGAGAGGAAAGAAACAGGACTGGTAGTCTCTTTGTCATCACAACAAACAAGTAATCATAAGCTAGCAGCTTGGGCCGTCAAATCATGCCAATAGCCAGAAGTTCTTGTGGGTCTTGGAGTTGAGGACGTAGCCTCCGTTCTGACCTTTCTTCTGCACCCCGACACAAGTGCACCTGCTGTTCTCGATCAAATACTCTGCCGTGTCTACGCCTTTCGAACCTCTTAGAGACCCACCAGGCCGCCTAGATCTGTCATCCAACAACACCGTCGATCTCATTCTCTGTCTTTTTATCATGGTAGTAGCCCTCCTCATGCATATGTTTTCTTTCTATTTAAATGCATATGTCATGTGATTTTTCATGGTTATGATTGAGATGGATAGCTGATATTTCGATCTTTTCGCGTTGATGGCAAGGGGTAGAAGGGAACATACCCTAGAATGGCTGACGAGAGAGTTCGGCGTTGGCCAATGATGATGATGTCAATGCCGAGCTTTTCGCCTAGAAAAAGGATGGTGGCGGCTTTGGAGCATTCCACCGGGAAGCACTCTGCACGGACACGCACCTTAGGCTGAGCTACCTCGCATATCCGCTTCATCTGCTCGAGAAAATGCACATCCCCTTGGCCAATCTCGGAGGCTAAGGCTGAAACAGCTGCAGCTGCGTTGAAAGATGTCGAAGGAGAAGAAGAAGAAGAAGAGAGGGAGCTCGGTAATCTGAGGAAACTCGAGAAGGTATTCTTCCAAGAGGAGGTGGCAGAATTCTCGACGTGGACGAGGATGAGCTCGTCCTGATCAAGCACGGCGTGTGAGAGAGCGTATTGGAGAGCGGCTGCCGATCTCCCCCCATTATCTTCCGAGCCTGTTGAACTGGCGGCGGTGCTCGGCCGTTTTCCATTCCCCCTGTCTCTGCCTCCTCTGTCTCTCTGTCTATATCCCCAAGGTCTGATATATCAGCACCATTTCCATGGCTTTTCAAAAGGGCGTTTCTTGGATTTGGACAGAGATCGGGAAATTAGGACATGAAAGGTCAAGATCCGTTGCTTTCACACGGTTTGGTGTTTTGTCATGTTCATCCCTAAAGCCGTTGATCAACACTTGACCGTTTGTTTTTCTCCTTGTTCCTTCTCCGCTTCTTAGAAGAAACGTGGGGAGAGATTATGAAGGATGATCGGTGCTGCTTTGTTTCAGGATTTTGTTCGCTTGTTTTTAGGAGACAGAACATTAATCCATCATTCTGTACTAAATTTTCGTATAAATACATAATTTATTGTATGGAACTTATAAGCTTTTGAATTTTTTATTTTTTTATAAAATATTTTAAAAAAAGAATGGGATAATACAGGAACATACTACTTCAAGAACATTACATCCCCAACCACAAAGCCGAGAAAATCATAGCTCCGAACAACAACAATGGCCACAACAACATCTGACTCAGAACTTGAAGATGATCCGAAAACTCGTGGAAAAAAACGCTCAATCATCGATCGAAAGGCAGTGCCTTTACGGGATTTTTGAGTATATCCCCATCCGGGTTTTGATCATATGATCCACTCTAATGCTGAAAGCATCAAAGTGAGTAACAAGTTGAAGTGTTCAGTTGGTGTTGAGCTTTTCCAGGAGGATTTTGTTCAGCAACCCGGGATTGGCCTTGCCTTTCGACATCTTCATCACCTAAACAAAGAGGCACGAATTCACGGTGAATACTGTAATCGTTACAAGTTTGAAGAGGTCGGTCCAAGAAAATGCTGTTATCTTCTATTGTACCTGGCCAGCGAAGTAGCCTTGCAGCTTGGTTTTCCCGGCACGATACTGCTCGAGCTGCTTTGGACTCTCAGAGATCACCTCGTCAATCATTTTCTCGATTTCCAAAGGATCGGTTATCTGCAGGAAAACTTTCCAACTCATTTGAACATACACTAGCCAGAGGAAATCTCATTGACAAAATCGAGCATTATATATCATTCTTTAGTTCTTCGTCGGGTAACTTGTATCATAATGTTGCCCAACACCAATATCACCAGCAAATTTATAGATTCCTTCTTTGCTAAAGCTTCAAGAATTCATTTTTTTTCCATAAAAACGGCAAAGAGGGCAAACATGTTTTTTTCTCGGGATCTATTCATCTGTGGACAAGTTTTTGTGGATTAGCATATGAACTTGCCTGAACTAAGTCTTTGTCCTTTATTATTCCTTTGACAGTCCCACCTTTGGCCAACAGCTCAAACAGTATCTGCAAAAAATGAAAAATCCTTGAAACTGCATCGACACGCGTTACAAATTCTACGTAACAGTTAACATAGAAACGGCATCGGTATGATGGAAAATACGTCTGACCTCCTTCCCGATCTTTCCACTAATGGTTCCATCTTTTATTGCGGCTATGAGTTCGGATAACTCTTGAGGAGTAAGCTTAATATCATTCATGGAAAGCTTTTCATTTTTCAAGTAGGCAGCAATATCTCCCATAATCCAGTTTGCCGCCAGCTTCACTTCAGCGCCTTTGGCAATGACCGCATCAAAATACTCTGCAACCTAAGAAATTCATTCCAAAAAAAAAAAACGAAATTCGCCTTAGCTATACTATGCCAAATACATTCAAGAAAAGGATTCTGATAAGTATTTCAGGGTTTACGTCAGAGGCAGGAAGAGAGGAAAAGAAGCAGTAAATGGTGAAGATCAAGAGGAAGGAGCTGAAGAAGTGGCTGAAGAAGGAGCTGGAGGGATAAGAGAGGGGAGCTGAAGCAAGAAGGAACAGCTGAAGAGAAAGGTACGCTGCTATTAGATTTGTTTGTTTGTGTATAAGGATAGTATATGTTGATTGTGTTTGTTGCATAGTTGGTTAGTAGTTGTGAATAAACAGCTGTATTGTCTGTTATGGTTAGGAATATGGTTAGCTGTTAGTAATTCTGTTAGGATGGGATTGTATAAATAGTGTAGAGAAGGGATTGAAGGGTTTTTAGGCAATTTCTAGTACAGAATTGTAAGGGGAAGAGAGTGGGGACCTCTCTCTAATCAAAGTCATCCATCGTGTACCTGTTTTCGGTGATCAATAAAGCTGGGCAGTTCTTCTCCAGCTGAGGAATCCGAGGTCTGGACCATAACAAATTGGTATCAGAGCAAGTCTCATCAATGACGAAGACCAACGCGCAAATAAGAGAACAATTGGAAGGAAGAGCCATGGACAGAGGTGAAAGAATCGATGAAACAAGGGTGGAATTACAGAGACAACACGAAAAGATGGAAGAGTTACAGAAGCAGTGTTCTAAAATGGTCTACCTGGAGAAACAATGCGCAAGGATAGATTCGATGGAGGTAATGCTATCAAAAATATGTCAAATGCTGGCTGGTAGCCAGGATCGGCAGGAATTTGACAGAAACGTGAAGCCACAAGCGAGTAATCATCAGCAGAATTCGCAAGGGAATCGCGAGGCAATTCCAGATGCGACATGCAATCCAGAATCAGAAGAAGGAAACAATCAAGCACAAGGAGGTGATCAAGAGGCGAGAAACGCGACACATCGAACAGAGGGAGATAGTGACAAGTATCAACAAGATCGATTCACTGGAAGCTGCAGTACACACTTCAAGAGGATCGAGATGCCAGTATTTGAGGGAACAAATGTGAATGCATGGATCATAAGAGCTGAAAGGTATTTCTCAATGGGACAATGTTCAGAAAATGAGAAACTGAGGTTAGCTGCTATGTGCATCGATGGACATGTATTGAGCTGGTATGACTATCAGAATGGGAAGAAACCATTTAAGGATTGGGCAGACGTGAGAGAAAGGATAACAAGAAGATTTGGTGGAAGGAAGCTGGGCTCACCTTTCGACAGACTACTGTCATTGAGACAAACAGGTACGGTAGAAGAATACTTGTGTGAGTTTGAAGAATTATTAGCTCAGGTACCTCATACTCCTGAAGAAATGGTAGAAAGTACATTCAAAAATGGATTGAAACCAGAGATATTGGAGATATTACAGATTTTCCGACCTAAAGGCATGGAAGAAATAGTGGATGTGGCACTGAGCATTGAAGGCAGCAAGCTAAGTGCGGTGTGTGGAGGAAAAGGAGGTAGTGATGGAAAGAACTGGAGGACGGGATATACAGGCTCATCATTCAGAACAGTTTCAGTACCTACTGAAAACCAGAAATACCAGAACCAATCATACAGGAGCAATTTTCAAGAAAGAGGAAGACAGATCAATGGAGGAAAAGGACCAAAAGAGGAGGGTGGAGTTCAAGAAAAGAAATCAACATTCAAAAGAATGTCTGATGCTGAATTTGAAGAGAAAAGGAAGAAGGGATTATGTTTCAGGTGTGATGAGAAGTTTTTTGTGGGACACAGATGCAAACAGAAGGAGTTACAAGTGATTTTGGCTGAGGAAATAACAGAAACAGGGGAGGAACTGGAGGAAGAGCAGGATAATGAAGCAGGAAACAGAGAGGACGAGGGAGAGTTTGCTGAGCTATCACTCAACTCAGTAGTGGGGTTAACTTCACCAAAAACACTGAAGATCCGAGGATCAATAGAAGGCCAGGAAGTAGTTGTATTGATTGACAGTGGAGCCACTCATAACTTCATATCCTTGAAGTTAATGAAGAAGCTGAAATTAAGACCTGAAGGTAACACTCAATTTGGAGTATCTTTGGGAACAGGTATGAAGGTAAAAGGAAAAGGGATTTGTAAGGCAGTACATTTACAATTACAGCAGATAGAAGTAGTAGAAGATTTCTTACCACTGGAATTAGGAAGTGCTGATTTGATTCTGGGAGTACAGTGGCTACAGAAGCTGGGAAAAGTTCAGATGGATTTTCAGGATCTGGAGTTGAAGTTCAATCAAGGCACATCATGGGTTACAGTAACAGGTGATCCTACTCTACATAGTTCATTGGTAACCCTGAGATCATTGATCAAATCAGTTTGTGATGGAGATCAGAGCTACTTAGTTAAGCTGGAAACATTAGAAGAGCAAGTGGGGGTTGATTCAAATCTTCCGGAGAAGTTACAGGCAGTGCTGGAAGAGTTTGGGCCAGTGTTTGAAATCCCTACTGAATTACCACCAGAAAGGGGTAGAGAGCATCCAATTAATCTCAAAGAAGGAACAGGTCCTGTAAGTGTCAGACCTTATAGATACCCCCATGCACACAAAGAAGAGATTGAGAAACTAGTGAAGGATATGTTGAAGGCAGGCATAGTGAGACCGAGTCAGAGTCCTTTTTCAAGTCCAGTATTACTAGTTAAAAAGAAAGATGGTAGCTGGAGGTTTTGCATCGATTACAGGGCACTGAACAAGGTCACAGTGTTGGACAAATTCCCTATACCAATGATAGACCAATTGTTGGATGAATTACATGGAGCAAGGGTGTTTTCAAAGTTGGATTTGAGATCAGGGTACCATCAGATCAGAATGAAGACAGAGGACATTCCCAAGACAGCATTCAGAACACATGATGGACACTATGAGTTTTTAGTAATGCCTTTTGGCCTTACTAATGCTCCAGCAACATTCCAAGCATTAATGAATGAGATTTTCAGACCTTACCTAAGGAAGTTTGTGTTAGTATTTTTTGATGACATTCTGGTATACAGCTGCTCACTACAGGATCATGCAACACATCTACAGACGGTGCTAGCTGTATTACAGAAACACAAGCTATACGCTAACAAAAAGAAGTGTGAATTTGGAAGACAACAGATAGACTATCTGGGGCATATAATTTCTCAAGAGGGTGTATCTACAGACCCAGCTAAGACAGCAGCAATGCAAAAGTGGCCAACCCCAAGCAATGTGAAGGAATTAAGAGGATTTCTGGGGCTGACAGGATATTACAGACGCTTTGTACAGAACTATGGCACCATAGCCCGTCCCTTGACAGATCTACTAAAGAAAGATGGGTTTAATTGGTCTGAAGATGCTTCGAGTGCATTTAGGAAACTAAAACAGGCTATGACATCTGCTCCAGTTCTGGGACTACCAGATTTTCGTGAAGATTTTGTGGTTGAAACGGATGCCTCGGGATTTGGCATCGGAGCAGTCCTAATGCAGAAGCATAGGCCAATTGCCTTCTTTAGTCAGGCTCTGTCTGAAAGGGAGAGATTGAAACCAGTATATGAGAGGGAATTAATGGCAGTGGTTCTCTCTATCCAACGTTGGAGACACTACCTATTGGGTAGAAGTTTTCTGGTTTGCACAGACCAGAAAGCCTTAAAATTCTTACTGGAACAACGCGAGGTGAGTATGGAATACCAACGTTGGTTGACTAAACTACTGGGATATGATTTTCAGATTGTTTATAGGCCAGGAGTGGAGAATAAGGCAGCTGATGGCCTGTCCAGAATGCCACACAACACGATTCTGGAACCAACATGTATGGGGTTAGCCATAACTATTCCGAGAAATATACAACTGGTGGAGGTAGAGAAAGAAATTGGGGAAGACAGTGATCTGAAGGAGATAGTCAGCAAGCTGAAGGAAGGGGAAACCAAAGTGGGAAAGTATCATTTGCTACAAGGTATGCTGAGATATAAAAACAGGTTAGTAGTTTCCAAACATTCAAGTTTCATTCCTACAATTCTGGCTGAGTTCCATGACAGTAAGATGGGAGGGCATTCAGGGGTTTTGAGAACATTAAAAAGGATACAGGAGTTGTTTCATTGGGTAGGAATGAAAGCTGATATTAAGAAATATGTAGCTGAATGTGCTGTCTGTCAAAGCCAAAAGTATTCAACTTTGGCTCCAGCAGGTCTCTTGCAACCATTACCGATTCCAGAACACATTTGGGAGGACATTTCAATGGATTTCATTGAGGGCTTACCAAGATCAGCAGGTTATAATGTAGTACTGGTAGTAGTTGACAGATTGAGCAAATATGCTCACTTCATAGCCTTAAAACATCCGTTTACAGCTATGGTGGTTGCTAAGGTTTTTGTACAGGAGGTAGTCAGGCTACATGGGTTTCCAAAATCCATAGTATCAGACAGGGACAAGGTATTCCTCAGCAACTTTTGGTCGGAATTATTTCGGATAGCAGGCACCAAATTAAAGTTTAGTACAGCCTATCATCCACAAACAGATGGACAGACAGAGGTATTAAACAGATGCTTGGAGACATATTTGAGGTGTTATGCTAATGATCATCCCAGGAAATGGATTCAATTTCTGAGTTGGGCAGAGTTTTGGTACAACACTTCGTTCCACACAGCATTACAGTCCACACCATTTCAGATTGTGTATGGAAGAGAACCACCTACATTACTGAAATATGAGGAGGGATCTACTTCTAATTTTGAACTGGAAAAAGCACTAAGGGAAAGGGATAGAATGATATTGGAGATCAAGCAGAAACTTCAAGCAGCTCAACAGAGAATGAAAGTATCAGCTGATAAAGGGAGGCGAGATCTGACATTGACAGTAGGGGAGTGGGTTTATTTGAAAATCAGACCATACAGGCAGAACACTCTGGCAGCAAGGAGTAATCAGAAGCTAGCTGCTCGATATTATGGCCCTTTTCAAATAGAAAGCAGGATGGGAGAGGTAGCATATAAACTAAAGTTACCTAAGGGGTGCAACATTCATCCTGTATTTCATATTTCACAGCTTAAAAAGGCTTTGGGAGGTAACATCCAACCAAACCAATTACCAAGGCAGTTGACAAGAGATCTGGAACTACAAGTTCAGCCGAAAGACATCAAGGATTCCAGGTATACTAAAGAGGGTCGGTTGGAAGTTTTGGTTGAATGGCAGGATTTACCAGAACATGAGAGTACATGGGAAGTGGCTGAAGATTTCAACAAGCAATTTCCTAGCTTTCAGCTTGAGGACAAGCTGAGACAGAAAGGGGGGAGTATTGATAAGTATTTCAGGGTTTACGTCAGAGGCAGGAAGAGAGGAAAAGAAGCAGTAAATGGTGAAGATCAAGAGGAAGGAGCTGAAGAAGTGGCTGAAGAAGGAGCTGGAGGGATAAGAGAGGGGAGCTGAAGCAAGAAGGAACAGCTGAAGAGAAAGGTACGCTGCTATTAGATTTGTTTGTTTGTGTATAAGGATAGTATATGTTGATTGTGTTTGTTGCATAGTTGGTTAGTAGTTGTGAATAAACAGCTGTATTGTCTGTTATGGTTAGGAATATGGTTAGCTGTTAGTAATTCTGTTAGGATGGGATTGTATAAATAGTGTAGAGAAGGGATTGAAGGGTTTTTAGGCAATTTCTAGTACAGAATTGTAAGGGGAAGAGAGTGGGGACCTCTCTCTAATCAAAGTCATCCATCGTGTACCTGTTTTCGGTGATCAATAAAGCTGGGCAGTTCTTCTCCAGCTGAGGAATCCGAGGTCTGGACCATAACAGATTCCATAGGTTCGAAAAAGATAATGTCAAGTACTTTAATAGGGTGTAATGAAATTTGAATAACGTCGAGGTATGTTCAGACCGTCAAGAATATATGTAGGACTTACACTTGTGTCATTTGCAAGGAAAAGCACGTCCTGCATGCTTAGGCCCATTCTCTCATACCGCCTGCGTATTGCCTCGGGAAGTTCGGGTAAGGAATTACGGATGCCATCAACATATTCTTGGGTGAGAATCACTTCCGGGAGATCTGGTTCCGGGAAATATCGGTAATCAGCAAGACCTTCTTTTTTCCTCATCGTAACTGTTTTCTGAACATTATTGAAAATTCCTACACAGATTAACAGATGGTAATAACAAAAGGAAAAAAAATTGCTTAACTTGGAACAGAATGAAATTATGATTTAGCGAGAACCTGAGCGCCTTCTTCCCAGAGTCGGGTTTCGGATACGATCTGGTCACTTTGGCCCTGGCTATACAGAAGTGCCTGTCTAGCTATCTCAAAGTCAATTGCTCTGTTAATTGATGAAAATGAATTCAAATTCTTTATTTCCACCTGCAAAAAGGAATCCAAGATCAATCCAGCAACCATTTGAGGAAAAAAAAACCCCGCAAGTAGTCAGCCAATGATGCATATTGTCGCCAGTCCTTTGAAGGTAATCCATCCTACTGAGGAAGAATCGATGAATGATAAGGAAGTGAAAATTCTGCAATGGAAGAACTATTGACCTTGGTGCCAAACTCAGGTTGCCCGACTGGACGGATGGATACATTTACATCACAGCGAAGAGAACCTTCTTGCATATTCCCATTGCTAATTCCCAAGTACCGAACAATCCGTTGAAGTTCACAAGCATACTCTGCGGCTTCGATCCCATTTCTCATATCAGGCTCAGAAACAATTTCAAGCAATGGAACTCCGGCTCTATTCAAATCCACCTGCACAATATGGCAGGACACATAACATTAGCAAGAGCCAAAACATGATCAATTCAATTCGTTAGAATATGTTTAATGCAGAGAGCTAAACCCTGAAACCTAAACCCCTAATGGGAGCAAAAGCATCCTAAATTCAGAACTGGGAATATAACACAGATAACGCATCCAGAACATAAAAAAGATGAGAACTTTCAGGCCTGAGAGTAATCTTCATTGTCTGAATGAAGTAGCTTGCCAGCATCCTCCTCCATATGAACCCTGGTGATGCCAAATCTCCTATGCCCACCACCGAATTCTACAGGAAGATCCAAATCAACATATCCACCGGATGCAATAGGGATATCGAACTGAGAAATTTGGTATCCCTTGGGAAGATCAGGATAAAAGTACTGCTTCCTGTCGAATTTTGACTTCAAAGACAGCTTGCAATTCAATGCAAGACCCAATTTAACAGCAAATTCGACAACTTTGGAGTTCAAAACTGGCAAAGCACCAGGCAAACCCATGCAAACGGGGCAAACGCCGGAGTTCGGTCGTGACCCATAACTGTAAGGACAACCGCAAAACGCCTTGGTGAGCGTAGAGAGCTGAACATGAGTCTCTATACCAATTACGGCCTCGTAATCTCTCAGAATCTGATCAAGCTTGTCGCTTTTCTGGTTTCTCTGTGAAACCCCAGTTTTCGGCGGCTGTTTCTTCTCCTGGGTCGCCGTCTGAGTCCGACAACACCTAACGGAGAAGTTCAAAACTCCATTGTTCCTCCGTCTGAACAACAAAGTCCCCAAAACTGAGAACTGGTTCGGATGAATTGTTCCAAACAACGTAGTAGCCATCTTTAACGATGTTCATATATCAGAGACGAGAGATTATATTCATGAATCGCAGAGAACAGAGAAAAAAAAGGAGCGGCAAGGAAATGAGTAGATGCAAACTTAAGAGAGTGGATAGTCATTTGTCGCTTCTCGCAGCCTTGCGTTTTTCTTTCTTTTGTAATATCATGTTATGCCCCTGTACTTTTAATCCAACGCATATAAACCCGTTTAGTTTTAAAATTGCATAATAGCCCCTGCCATCCTCATTACAAACGTTTAGTTCGTGACTTCGTGTCAAGGAACCAAGACTAGTACTCCGAAATCAATAAATCAAATGCATATACTACGAAATCACGTTCTTAAGAACGTAATTATTGCGTTCATATTAAAAATATTCATACAGTTTAAAATTATATGACCACATCACTAATAGCTGTAAAAAAAATTTTAAGTGGATATATCATGATATGTGGAAACTAACATTCATTTTTCTAAATTATGTCAAATTTATAAAGAAATTTTTTTTAATGTTACCGGGGACACATGTCCCACTCATTACAACGTAGGTCTACGAATCATCATCATATATTAGTCACACTGATCACAAAAAATAAATTAAAAAAGATATGGTCTGAAGTCAATATAACAAAACAAAAGTAATTTTGATATTATATCCCTTAACCTAATAACAAATTTGTTGATTAAAATATGTATCATTTAAAAAGGAAAAATATGGTTGGATCATGGTCATTTATACACAAAATAACAAAAATATACTATTTTGTAACCGATAGTATTATTTTTCTAAACTATTATTTACTAATTAATAGACAAAAAAATAATATCCGCCAAGAGTTTTGATCTAAATATGGTATTTCGAAATTAAAATATATCATCGTCGTCGTCGTCACTAATTTGTCTCTTGCCTTAATATCCAAATACAAAAGTCATTAGTTTTTTTTTTTTTTTAATTATAACCCTAAATTTTCAAACTCAAATAAATTTTTTTTTTTGGATGATTAGTGGATAAAGATGTTTGGAGTTGTTCTTGGGCCTAATGCTAATCATAGAAATTAACCATAAAGTTGTGTTTTGGTCCGGCCCAAATATATATATTCACATAAAAAAGCATAATTAAAACTATTTTATAATTTTCAAAAATCCACCCGGCCAGAAATGCTATCTTTATCATATGACAAAACAAATAATAAAACAAAAATTAAGATTTAACCCCAAAATATATAATATATTTTATTGATTCTCTAAGATTTTTCGTCTATAAAGTGATCACCCATTCCCCGTCCTTAGATATGCATCATCATATTTATATATTTAACGATTTAAAACATATTTAATCGAAAACGAATAGTTTTTCCAACTGAAGTTATATATTTAAGATTTAAATAATTACGAACGTATATTTATTAATTTTGGGAATAAAAAGATTCTAGAAGATAATTAGCGATGGCAAGTACAAGTACGCAACATGCACTTTCAATTAAGATAGGAACAAAAATAAAATAGACCAAAAAAAAAACTATCGTAGAATCGTGCAACCTTTATCTTGTTCTACATTGAAAAGCCGACCTAAAAGTAAAAACTAGTGGAAATTAAATATATATAATAATATTGCATTATTAATAGAAAGAATAAAATAAATATTAGGAGCTTTTTCTTATTATATATATTGTACATACTTTTTTTAATATAAAAAGTAAATCTTTGGAAAATCAATTGGGGCATGCAAATGCTTAGATGATAAACATGTTCTGTTTTGCAGTACAAAAGTGACTTTAATTAATTAGAGAAAATTCCGTACGAAATAGTTGATGAATAAATTGCTTAGATGGAAAATAAGCAACAAATGAAACATAAAAAAATATTGATTAAACAAATTATTAGTGTCTAATCAGGAGATTAAGGAATTGTTTATGGATAATCAGTTAAGCGATATTGCTGACGTATGGGCCACGCGTTTGCGTCCCTTGTCTCGGAGCCGTTGAAATACTCAACTTTTGCAAATCTTTGATATTTCGTTAAAAAAAACATATTTATTAATAAAAAAAGTCACATATAAATACTTATTTTTCTATAAAAATCTCAAATAAATATTTGAACTATAAAATTTGTATATAAATATCTGAATTTTTAAAAATTTTTATATAAATACCTACATTTTTGAAAATTTTCAAATAAATCCAAATTTTAAGTATTTTTCAAATAAAATTAGTAAATACTTTAACGGATTTTGGGTTTATTTAAATATTTTTAAAAGTTTAATATTTTTATAGAATTTTTATAAAATTTAGATATTTATATGGAAGTTTTATAGTTTTTTATAATTCGGTGAAAATTTTATAGTTTATATATTTATTTGGGATTTTTATAAACATTTAGGTATTTATATGTGAATTTTCCTATCAAATATTCACCATGACAAAAAAAATCTAACTACAATGTTTTAGAAATATTCCCATTTAAATTATGAGAACTACTCATATAATATACATTTATCGCGCATTTAATCGAATCAAATGATAGATAAAGCGGGCTTCAATAAATCTCATCCAAAAGTATTATTTGGATCATCAATTATATACATTTGATTATTTGGATCATCAATTCGGTTATATTCATTATTCCTTTAACATTAATTGGTGAATTATATTCCGTCTTCAAATCATTAAATTGGACTTACTTCGCCATTACGTTTCATTTGTTTGCTCATTTTCCATCTAAATTAACCAAATTCTACAACACAAATGATTAAGTATTTTGTCTTGAGGATAATGGAAACATGCCATAAATCTTAATCATATCATATTGCTTTAATTCCTATTTTTTTTATTGACTTTAAAAACTATAAATCATTGATCACGTATAGTTTTCAATCATTAAAAATGTTATGTATATATAACCAATAGCATATCTAAAAAAACATCACTTGAATTCCATTTATTTAATATAAATAGTAAAAGAATGAAAGAATAGAAGATATTAAGATAACTTTTCTTAAATTTAAAATATAAACTTGTGTGTGTGTGTAATTATATATATAAATTTTAAAAAAATAGTTATGTTGAGAATTGTATTTAATTTTTTTATATCATAAAAGAAAAGATTGCGAGCTATAACTAATTTTATCTATTTATTAAATTTGTTAGATTAGACTACGAAGAAAACCATGTGATGCGACAATTCATGTGGAGAGTATATAGAGTTATGCGAGTGTACTAAAATTTATATTTTTATATAAATGAGTTTTAACATATATATATATATATAACTTGAAATATATTTAGAAAAATAATTAAGTTTTTAGATAATAATTTTATTACAAAAAAAGTTTTAAATAATAAAATATAAATTTACAAAAAATACCACAATTTTTTCATCATTCTTTATGTTTGAGTTTTTTTCGTGTTAATAAATTTAGGTAAACAAAAAAAAATCTATAATCAGATACCATGAGATATTAACACATATTTGAATCACTCCTACACACTTTTCCCCTAAAATATCTTTTTTTTAGATTAACCATATCAATCAACGGACATGATTGTTCTTGGTTGATATAATAAGGGAAATAGTATATTGAATTTTATTTCTTTTGGTTATTGAGAAAAAGACAACCTTTGAAGTCTAGAGATAGAGAGAAGTGGTGGACCCATAGGGCACTTTTAAGTGGATATATAAACGGGGAAAGGACTGGGAAATAGGGTAACCAAAGGACAGAACACGGCATAAGCACAAACACACACACAAAGATTGGTCCAAAACACAAATCTTTGTCCTAATAAAACAATTTGTCTTTGATCTTATAGGCATACAAAGAGTACTCATTCGTTGAGTTGAAGAAGGAGGATGAGTTGGGGAATGATGGGTACTGTGGAAGAAGGTTGGAGGAGAGGTCCATGGACCGCCGAAGAAGACGAACTTCTCATTCAGTACGTTAGGGTTCATGGTGAAGGCCGTTGGAACTCTGTCGCCAAGCTTGCAGGTTCTCTCTCTCTCTCTCTCTCTCTCTCTCTCTCTCTCTCTCTCTCCCCCCCCCCCCCCCCCCCCTA